CCCCCCCATTTTGGAGCCTCATACATACAGCATCTAAGCTATCCAGAGAGAAACAGGAATATATAATGTGTGACTAACACTAGAAAGAGATTTCCAAGGATTTGAGGTGTAGGTGCTAAGTAGCATGATCTTTACTCACAGGTAAAGCCACAACTTTTGCTCCTTTAGCTGATGCTTCTCTCACCAGTCCACAGGCTCGTTGAAGGTTTTCTGATTTAACAGCAGATACATGAAGCTGAATAAGAGCCAGGCGGAAGTCTAATAGCAGAAAAGAAAAAGATTAGGTCAGCAGAATTCCCCCAAGAAAAACTCTTCAAAATTTGAATTCATTAATGAGCATTTAACAAAATTAATTTGCTCATACATTAACATATACACAAACCACTTCCAGCTCATTTTATGGCCTATGACTCTGGAAACAGTCTCTTAGAACAGGGAGAAGACTCAAACCTAGACTTGCCAATGGGAATCACACCCCGCCACCACCCCACTCAGGTTAGAGATCAGAGTTCACATGCCAGTAACAGGTAGCCCAGGCAGTAGCCAACACACATTCTAATGTAAGGTACTGAGTGACAGAAAGGAAGACTACTAGTCACCTAGATCTGCTTCTTCCTCCCCAGTTTACTACATGCTTTGTGAGCCTCCCTTTTTGTTGCACCCATTGCCCAATGAGCCCTGCACACCCCAAAATGCCACTAGCAAACCAAAAGACTGGGTAATCCAAAAGCACTAAATATGGGAATTGATTTTATCCCTCAAATCCCACCTGGCCTGGGAAAAAGCTATAAAAACCAATACAGATACCATCTTTCCTGATCATTTCTTTGCAATTTGGTTTCTAGCCAAGAGTTGCGAGTGTTATCAACACTGTCTCTACCGGGGCTAAGCACCATTTATATTTGCAGGCCCTTAAAGGACACAAGTAGGAGAAATCAAACAAGGTTTTGTGCACACCCATTGGACGTCCCTCCATGAGTCTCCCAGCACCCTGTGCTGTAGGGAAACTCATCCTCATTATGTAGAGCTGTCTCCTTTAAAAAAAAAACAACAAACCAACCAGCACTCCATATTCATAATGAAAAGTACCCCAGTTTCAAAGCACCTCTCTTCTCTGGAAAACTCCCGTTATACAAAGATGACCACAGGATAAAGAAAAGGCAGTGAACAGCACAGCCTCAGCAGTCAGGGAAACCGGAAGAAGTGATTCAAATGAAGATGAAATCTGGTCAGGAACAGAATATCCTTCTTCCTACTTGTTTTGCCAATTATCAGGCCCAGCATAAAGGACACAGCCAGCATAAAGATGAACCAATAACCAAACTGTATTTGATACAAAAGGGTCAGTACATGGGTGAGTGCTGGGGGTACAAACAAGTCAGATTATACATAACCAACATCAATCCCAATGACCCCAACAACACCACATGACCAACAACGGGTGGAATAAATGATGAAATGCAGTTTCCCATAGAAAGGATAGGAGACAACCAAGTCAACAAGCCAAACACATAAGACCAAAGAAGCCACAGACTGAATCTCTACACAGCCCACGTTTACAAAAGCCAGGCCTGACTGGAGCCCAGGTCCAGGGAGACAGGAGGTCCCTCTCCAACAGGGAACTCTGCAAAGTACATCCACCTCACAGACAGACACTGCCCCTTCCTGCAAGTGGTCCCAGCTTTTATCCCTAAGTGGGACACCTGACCTTTGTTTACTTAATGCGGGACACCTGGGGCTCATTTACCTAATGGCTCTCCCTGCAAGGCTGGCCGCACCCTGGAGGGAAGCTTAAAGGTAAACTCACCCCCCCTTTGTGAAGGGCTGAGAGACTCACCCATGTCAACCTTAATTTGGGGCTTGGGGTTGAAGCCCCAGCATTTCACTACTTCAGTAGCTAATCAGCCAGTTTCCAGAAGTTATGCAAATGATTAACTGCTTACTTTGCCTCTCCTTCATGTGAAAGGCTTTTAATATTTGGCTGATTGAGTAAACAAAGCTTCACCGAGACCCTCAACAGATGTAACTATAGTTAGCTTTCAGGCCCACAGAGATACCCATGGTAGGAAACTGCCCAGAACTTTCTTGTACTTGTGGAGTACCTTTTAGCTCTGAGCAACTAAAGATTTATATTTCAGCATAAGTTCACTTTTGCGGGAAAAAGAAAACAAGCAAACGAGCATCTACTAGGAAAAAAAAAATAACAAGCTTTGTTCCCACAATGTTTAAAACACCAGGAAACCATTAATTTTATTTGCTGATTTTCCCTGTGCCTGAGGCCTGGAGTTCGTTAAAAGAGCAAAATGAAAGCTCATTCACAACACGTACTTGTGCCCAGAGTTTTGTTTAAAAATGCTGAGATGCAGAAGTCACAGAAACACAGAAAAACGTGCAGCAGTGCTGCAGAGCCCCAAGACCTCTTGTTCCAGGCTTTCTAAGCTGCCTCCAAAACTTCTTCAAAAGCAATTCTTAAGATAGTTTACAGGAATGCAGGCCACAAACAGGTAGAAGTGCATCAGAGTGAAAAATGGTTTGTATTTGTATCACTATGAAACGTGGTTTTTTTTGAAAAACAGCAGAAGCTAAGCACGACCAGCAGAGGCTAAGCACGCAGAGCCTATTTCCCGACAAAGCTGAGCTCTGCAGCGGCACAGATGCACTGCAAGCGGTTTCTACCACTCTGTGGCAAAGCCCCAAAGCAGCCCCCCTAGCACCGGCATTATTTCAGACCCCCTCAAGGGCTCAGAGGCAGCACCCAGGGCTGAGGCCTTCCCAGTCCCGACGAGGACTGGCGACCGCGGGAGGGCCACTGACAGGGGCAGCGGCCCCACGGTCAGATAAGAGGAGAAGGGCCCAGGGGGGACGAGGAGCGGGCGGCAGCGCCTCAGAGCGGCCCTTGGCGCCAGAGGGGAGGCTGCGACCCCGCAGAGAGCCTCGGGGCGAGCGGGGAGGCCGGCACCCGGCAGCGGCCCCTCTCACCGGCTGAG